GCCCATTTACACAGAAAGGGTCTATCAGTTTTATCATAGGTGTATTGTAAATGATAGAGACAGAATATCAACCAAAAATCCAGAAAAAACTCACAATACAAATGTTATAAATGGAGTTGCAGTTCAGTGAGTAGAATAAGTATTTGATCCCTAAGCAAAACATGACTTCGTACTTGGTGGAGAAACCCTTGTTGGCAACCACAGAGGTAAGACGTTCCTTGTAGTTGGGTACCAGGTTTGCACACATCTCAATAGGGATTTTGGTCCACTCTTCTTTACCGATTCTCTAAATCCTTAAGGTTTCTTGGCTGTCACTTGACCACTCGAAGTTTCAGCTCCTTCCATAAATTTTCTGAAGGATGAAGGTCTGGAGACTGGCTAGGCCACTCCATGACCTCAATGTGCTTCTTTTTGAGCCACTCCTTTGTTGCCTTGGCAGTATGGTTTGGGTCATTGTCATGCTGGAAGACCCATCCACGACCCATCTTCAGTGTTCTGGCCGAGGGAAGAAGGTTCTCATTCAAGATTTTACAATACATGGTCCTGTCGATTGATCCCTCAATTCGGCAAAGTTGACCTGTACCTTTAGCAGAGAAACAGTCCCAAAGCAGAATGTTTCCACCTCCAAGCTTACTGTAGGGATGGTGCTCTTAGAGTCACAGTCAGCATTTTTCTTCCTCCAAACACGGCAAGTCGAATTAATGCCAAAGAGCTCAATTTTGGTCTCATCTGACCACAGCACCTCCTCCCAATCCTTCTCTGAATCATTCAGATTTTCATTGGCAAATTTCAGACGGGCCTGTACATGTACCTTCTTGAAGATGGGACCTTGCGGGCCCTGCAGGATTTCAATCCATGGCGGCGTATTGTGTTACCAATGGTTTGTTTGGTGACTGTGGTTCCAACTTCCTTGAGATCATTCACAAGCTCCTCCTATGTAGTTCTGGGCTGATCCCTCACTTTTCCCATGATCATCCTTACCTCATGAGGCAAAATCTTGAATGAAGCTCCAGACTGAGGGCGATTGATGGTTATTTTGTATTTCTTCCATTTGCGACATACAACACACAAAGCCATCCAGAACACTGCCCCTAGCTACATCACCAACCTCATCCGCAGATATCGTCCAAATCGCCTGCTCTGCTCCTCCCAAGACATCTTGCTCTCTATCTCCCATGCTCGCCTCCAGGACTTCTCCAGAGCCTCTCCCATCCTCTGCAACTCCCTACCGCAGTATGTCTGGTCAGCCCCAACTTATAGACCCTTCATTTCTTTGTAAGTGAGCAAACGTACAAAATCAGCAGGGGGTCAAAAAATGATTTAGAAAGCCCCAGGCAAACCAATAAATACACCACTGTGGTGCCTACATCAGAACTTCATCTGGAGATACAGAAGATTGGGAAGGGTCAGTGTTAGGGGGGCTTTGGGCTTGAGTCCATAACATCTGCTTGGGTAAGATGTGTTACTATCACACCAGGGATCTCCAAAAGAGCATCCAAAAGTTTTATTAAACAATCGCATCACAGCATAAAAACCAGTGACCTTTAGGGGCCATGCAGGGCCCTTTCTTCAGGCATGTGACTTCAGCTTGAGATGTGTCCAAGTTTGTTCAGAAATCATCGGTGTTCGCATTGCACCCACAGTTGACCTCCTTTTCACCTGCTTCAAGCAAGTTTTACATTCCCATAGATTTGAATGAAGATGCAAAATCTGTCCAATGTACCTGTATCAATGGCACCTGTTTGAACTTGTTATCAGTATAAAAGACACCCGTCCACAACCTCAAACAGTCACACTCCAAACTCCACTATGATGAAGACCAAAGAGCTGTCGGAGGACACCAGAAACAAAATTGTAGACCTGCACCAGGCTGGGAAGACTGAATCTGCAATAGGCAAGCAGCTTGGTGTGAACAAATCAACTGTGGGAGCAATAATTAGAAAATGGAAGACATACAAGACCACTGATAATCTCCCTGGATCTGGGGCTCCACGCAAGATCTCACCCCGTGGGGTCAAAATGATCACAAGAACGGTGAGCAAAAATCCCAGGACCACACGGGGGGACCTAGTGAATGACCTGCAGAGAGCTGGGACCAACGTAACAAAGGCTACCATCAGTAACACACTACGCCGCCAGGGGCTCAGATCCTGCAGTGCCAGACGTGTCCCCCTGCTTAAGCCAGTACATGTCGGGGCCCCTCTGAAGTTTGCTAGAGAGCATTTGGATGATCCAGAAGAGGATTGGGAGAATGTCATATGGTCAGATGAAACCAAAATAGAGCTGTTTGGTAGAAACACAACTCGTCGTGTTTGGAGGAGAGAGAATGCTGAGTTGCATCCAAAGAACACCATACCTACTGTGAAGCATGGGGGTGGCAACATCATGCTTTGGAGCTGTTTCTCCGCAAAGGGACCAGGACGACTGATCCATCTACAGGACAGAATGAATGGGGCCATGTATCGTGAGATTTTGAGTGCAAACCTCCTTCCATCAGCAAGGGCATTGAAGATGAAACGTGGCTGGGTCTTCCAACATGACAATGATCCCAAACATACCGCCTGGGCAACGAAGGAGTGGCTTCGTAAGAAGCATTTCAAGGTCCTGGAGTGGCCTAGCCAGTCTCCAGATCTCAACCCCATAGAAAACCTTTGGAGGGAGTTGAAAGTCCGTGTTGCCCAGCGACAGCCCCAAAACATCACTGCTCTAGAGGAGATCTGCATGGAGGATGGGGCCAACATACCAGCAACAGTGTGTGCCAACCTTGTGAAGACTTCCAGGAAACGTCTGACCTCTGTCATTGCCAACAAAGGATATATAACAAAGTATTGACATGAACTTTTCATATTCACCAAATACCTATTTTGCCCCACTGTAGTTTGTCAGAGCATTCCATAATGCCATCATTGAGTGAACAAATTACAAAAAAATAACCATGTTATAGTTACCTGCTCTGCACAGAGCAGCCCCGATCCTCCTTTTCTTGGGTCCCCTGCTGGCGGCCTTTGCTCCTTTCTTGCTATGGGGACACTCAAGCAGGCTCACTCTCGAGCTGTGCTCCTCTGAATCCATGATATTCATTCACACACACAGCGCAGCTCAGCTCACCCCCGGCTCTCTTCTTATTGGCTCAGTGGCTGTGATTGACAGCAGCTGTGTGAGCCAATGGGAGGGAGAGAGACCCTGGAGATCTGCGGCTCTCATGCACATCACTGGATCGAGAGGGGGTTCAGAATAAGTATAAGGGGGGGGGGGAGCTGCATCCAGAAGGTTTTTAACTTTAGGCCCCTTTCACGTCACCGATTGTGTCCACCTATTTTTCAGGCAAACCTGAATGTACCATCCATTGTCCTCTATGGAGCGGGGGATTTAAATGATCATGTGTCCATTTACACACACCTGCATCTGATCTGCTAAACGCAGAGAGATGGAGTGTAAACGGATAGGTGGCCTGTTTACATCCGACCGCCCATAGAGGACAGCGAGCTGTGTCCATGACCGCTTTGCATAAGTGGGGTGGTCACGGACCTGTCATCCACCTGCTCAGCGGGGTCAGCAGAAGAAGCTCATTAAGGTCCTGGAGTGGCCTAGCCAGTCTCCAGACCTTAATCCGATTGAAAGTCTGTGGAGGGAGCTGAAAGATCGAGTTGCCAAACGTCAGCCACCAAACCTTAATGACTTGGAAAGGATCTGCCAAGAGGAGTGGGCCAAAATCCCTCCTGAGATGTGTGCGAACCTGGGGGCCAACTCCAGGAAACGTCTGACCTCTGTGATTGCCAACAAGGGATTGGCCACCAAGTACTAAGTCATGTTTTGTGAAGGGGATCAAATCCTTCTTTCCCTCATGAACATGCAGATCAGTCATCATTTGTTAGACGCATTTCTGCTGAATTTGTTGTTGTATTCTGTCTCTCAGTGTTACACCGAACATTCCATTGTTAGACCGATCATTTCTGTGTGAGGGGCGAACATTCCATTGTTAGACCGATCATTTCTGTGTGAGGGGCGAACATTCCATTGTTAGACCGATCATTTCTGTGTGAGGGGCGAACATTCCATTGTTAGACCGATCATTTCTGTGTGAGGGGCGAACATTCCATTGTTAGACCGATCATTTCTGTGTGAGGGGCGAACATTCCATTGTTAGACCGATCATTTCTGTGTGAGGGGCGAACATTCCATTGTTAGACCGATCATTTCTGTGTGAGGGGCGAACATTCCATTGTTAGACCGATCATTTCTGTGTGAGGGGCGAACATTCCATTGTTAGACCGATCATTCCTGTGTGAGGGGCGAACATTCACCATCAGGGGGGAGCAAATACACATTTCCTGCACTGTATGTGACCAAACGTGCCTGTGTGCATGAGCCCCGAGAACCCTTTGTATAAGGCAGAGTTCGTCTTTCAGCCAGACTGCTTTCCTCCTGGAAGTGGAATCTACCCGTCGGGATCACCGTTGGGCTGTAACCATTGCGACCATTACATGGGGGATATTCCTAAACCAAGGAAGGAGTTGGCTGTATCAGGAAATTCTAATACAGGTGCAGCTCAGTTTACGAATTCCTCGGTTAACCACTTGCCGACCGGAGATAGCTGAATGACGGCTACACGGCGGCCGGCCAGTTCTGGGAGGGTGTCATATGACGTCCTCCCAGAACGCGTTCTCCTCTGCGCCCCCAGGGGCACGTACCCGGCGATCTCCGTGATCGCTGTATCCTATGGACACAGCTGATCACGTTGTATGGTAAAAGGCCAATTGCAGTGGCCTTTTACCACATGATCAGCCGTGTCCAATGACACGCTGATCACCGGGAAATGCAACTGCCGGTTTTCGGCTGCAGTTTCCTCACTCTGTCAGAGCATGAGGAAAGTACTGCCGAGAATCAGCAGTTGGCAGAGCGGGGATCGGCACCGATCATCAGGGCACTGATGATCAGTAATCTGATGATCGGTGCACAGCAGTGCTGCCCACCTGTGCCAAGCAGTGCCACCCACCTGTGCCCATCAGTGCCACCCACCTGTGCCCATCAGTGCCACCCACCTGTGCCCAGCAGTGCCACCCACCTGTGCCAAGCAGTGCCACCCACCTGTGCCCATCAGTGTCACCCACCTGTGCCCATCAGTGTCACCCACCTGTGCCCATCAGTGCCGCCCACCTGTGCCCAGCAGTGCCACCCACCTGTACCCATCAGTGCCGCCCACCTGTGCCCATCAGTGCCACCCACCTGTGCCCATCAGTGCCACCCACCTGTGCCAAGCAGTGCCACCCACCTGTGCCCATCAGTGTCACCCACCTGTGCCCATCAGTGTCACCCACCTGTGCCCATCAGTGCCGCCCACCTGTGCCCAGCAGTGCCACCCACCTGTACCCATCAGTGCCGCCCACCTGTGCCCATCATTGCCACCCACCTGTGCCCATCAGTACCGCCCACCTGTACCCATCAGTACCGCCCACCTGTGCCCAGCAGTGCCACCCATCTGTGCCCAGCAGTGCCGCCCATCAGTGCCACCTCATCAACGCACATCAGTGAAGGAGAAAAATACCTTTTTGCTAAATTTTATAATAGTAACAAAAAACTTTTTTTTTTTTTAATTTTGTGCTTTTTTTTTGTTTATAGCGCAAAAAATACAACCCCCAGCGACGAGTAAATAACACCAAAAGTTCTATTTGTGTGAAAAAAATGATAAAAATTTCATATGGGTACAGTGTTGCATGACCGCGCAATTGTTCTTCAAAGTTGCGACAGCGCTGAAAGCTGAAAATTGGCCTGGGCAGGAAGGGGTTAGAAGTGCTCGGTAGGCAGGAAGGGGGGTAGAAGTGCCCTGGCAGGAAGGGGGTAGAAGTGTCCGGTGGGCAGGAAGGGGGTAGAAGTGTCCGGTAGGCAGGAAGGGGGTAGAAGTGCCCTGGGCAGGAAGGGGGTAGAAGTGCCCGGTAGGCAGGAAGGGGGTAGAAGTGTCCGGTAGGCAGGAAGGGGGTAGAAGTGCCCGGTAGGCAGGAAGGGGGTAGAAGTGCCGGTAGGCAGGGGGGTAGAAGTGTCCGGTAGGCAGGAAGGGGGTAGAAGTGTCCGGTGGGCAGGAAGGGGGTAGAAGTGCCCGGTGGGCAGGAAGGGGGTAGAAGTGCCCGGTAGGCCGGTAGAAGTGTCCGGTAGGCAGGAAGGGGGTAGAAGTGCCCGGTAGGCAGGAAGGGGTAGAAGTGCCGGTAGGCAGGAAGGGGGTAGAAGTGCCCGGTGGGCAGGAAGGGGGTAGAAGTGCCCGGTGGGCAGGAAGGGGGTAAAAGTGCCCGGTGGGCAGGAAGGGGGGTAAAAGTGGGTGGGCAGAAGTGTGCCCGGTAGGCAGGAAGGGGGGTAAAAGGGTAGAAGGGGGTGTCCGGTAGGCAGGAAGGGGGTAAAAGTGCCCGGTGGGCAGGAAGGGGGTAAAAGTGCCCGGTGGGCAGGAAGGGGGTAGAAGTGCCCGGTGGGCAGGAAGGGGGGAAGTGCCCGGTGGGCAGAAGGGGGTAGAAGTGCCCGGTGGGCAGGAAGGGGGACGTAATTTTAAGTTTACGAATGAAAATCCATTGAAAATAACGCCTCGGTTTACTAATTTTTTTTTGCAATATGGATGAATTAATTGGTTTTCAATGCATTTACTAATTTTTTATAAAGAGTTTTGAACAGCTAAGACTTTTTATTACTTTTTTCTGACCTCCGCAACAGATTAATTGGTTTTCAGTGCATTCCTATGGTAAACCGCATTTCCGTTTACAAATTTCTTGCAATACGAAAAGTCCCGCAGAACGCATTAAATATGTAAACCGAGGTACGCCTGTATTTAGAACCAATATGCTGTATACCTCAGAGCCCGCAGTTGCTGTATACCTCGGAGCCCGCGGTTGCTGTATACCTCGGAGCCCGCGGTTGCTGTACACCTCGGAGCCCGCGGTTGCTGTATACCTCGGAGCCCGCGGTTGCTGTACACCTCGGAGCCCGCGGTTGCTGTACACCTCGGAGCCCGCGGTTGCTGTACACCTCGGAGCCCGCGGTTGCTGTACACCTCGGAGCCCGCGGTTGCTGTACACCTCGGAGCCCGCGGTTGCTGTACACCTCGGAGCCCGCGGTTGCTGTACACCTCGGAGCCCGCGGTTGCTGTACACCTCGGAGCCCGCGGTTGCTGTACACCCGCCGAGCCCGCGGTTGCTTTACACCCGCCGAGCCCACGGTTGCCGTGTACCGCCGAGCCCGCAGTTGCTGTATAACGCCGAATGCTTTGTATATAATGTCACTGAGCCGAGCGCACATTTGTGTCTTATCAAGCGTTCAGCAATGAACTAATTCACCAGGTGACTCCACTCAGCGCCGTTCTGTGTGTTCGCACTTAATGTGACCTTAATCTGACGTGACTAATTTAATTATCATGGCGAAGGTAAGAAAACTAAGGTGATAATTAGACCGAGGTGCGGGCTGATATTAATAACCGCGGCCTCCATCCTTGTCAGCGGGGTTGGAATAAAGAAGTTTGCTTCTAAGTAATGGTGTCTCATATTAATATTTTCTGGTCATCTGTCTTTCTGGTCATCTGTCTTGCTGAACTGGATTGTTTACAGGATAAGTCACTTGCACATTTTTTTTTTGTTCTGATAATGGATTCCTATACTAAAGCATCTGCCAAAACCGTCCACTTAATTTATTTCCAATCACATAGACACTTCACAGCGGTCTGTAAACCAATGCACAGTCGGATCATAACATGATTGGCCAGAGAAAGCAAAACTGTGTTTGTACCATGCAGAGCACAGCAATAGGTTTACTTTAAATCTCCCGTTTAGGAAGAGCCCAAAAGTTCTCATTAGGGTTTAGGTCAGGTGAGGAAGAGGGCCATGTCATTATCCTTTCATCTTTAAGGCCTTTAGTGGCTAGCCACACAGTGGAGTACTTCGATGCATGTGATGGAGCATTGTTCTGCAGAAATATCATGGTCTTCTTGAAAGATGCAGACTTTTTCCTGTACCACTGCTAGAAGAAAGTGTCTGTTAAACACTGGCAGTAGGTTTGGGAGTTGATTTTGAGTCCATCTTCAACCCAAAAAGGTCCAACTAGCTCATCTTTAGTAAAACCAGCCCATACCAGTACCCCACCTCCACCTTGCCGGCATCTGAGTCAAAGTGGAGCTCTGTGCCCATTACTGATCCAGCCACGGGCCCCATGTCCATAAAAATATCTGTCTTCAGATATTTCTTGGCCCAGTCTTGATGTTTCAACTTCTGTGTCTTGTTCATTGGTGGTCAGATTTCAGCCTTTCTTACCTTGGCCATGTCTCTGAGCTCTGAACACCCCGTACTTCTATGTCTTGGTCATTGGTGGTCGGGTTTCTGCCTTCCTTACCTTGGCCATGTCTCTGAGCTCTGAACACCTTGTACATCTGAGTCTTGTTCATTGGTGGTCTGGTTTCAGCCTTTCTTACCTTGGTCATGTCTCTGAGCTCTGAACACCTCGTACTCCTGTGTCTTGGTCATTGGTGGTCAGATTTCAGCCTTTCTTACCTTGGCCATGTCTCTGAGCTCTGAACACCTCGTACTTCTGTGTCTTGGTCAATGGTGGTCGGGTTTCTGCCCTCCTTACCTTGGCCATGTCTCTGGACTTTGAACATCTCGAACTTCTGTGTCTTGGTCATTGGTGGTCGGGTTTCTGCCTTCCTTACCTTGGTCATATCTCTGAGCTCTGAGCACCTCGTACTTCTGTGTCTTGGTCATTATTGGTCGGGTTTCAGCCTTCCTTACCTTGACCATGTCTCTGGACATTGAACACCTCAAACTTCTGTGTCTTGGTCATTGGTGGTTGGGTTCAAACTTTCTTACCTTGGCCATGTTTCTGAGCTCTGAACACCTCGAACTTCTGTGTCTTGTTCATTGGTGGTCAGGTTTCAGCCTTTCTTACCTTGGCCGTGTCTCTGAGATCTGAACACCTCGTACTTCTGTGTCTTGTCATTGATGGTCAGGTTTCAGCCTTCCTTATCTTGGCCATGTCTGTGAGCTCTGAACACCCTGTACTTCTGGGCACTCCAGGTAAGTTGCAGTTCTGGAATATGACCGCACTGGAGGACAATGGCTCCCTGGTTGCTTCACTTTTGATTCTTCTCAAATCTTTGGAAGTTAATTTGCGTCTTTTTTTTTTTTTGCTCAACACATTACTTGCGACCCTGTTGACTATTTACAACAAAACGTTTGAGGGTTCTGGGATCACGCACGAATATCTTAGCAATTTCAAGAGTGCTGCATCCCTCTGACAGAATTTTTAAAATTTTTGACTTCTCAGGGTCAGTTAAACTCTTTTTTTGGCCCATTTTGCCTGAGAAAAAAGAAGCTGCCTAATAATTATGCACACCTTGAGATAGTGTTGATCTCTTTAGGCCACACCCTCCCTTATTACACAAATACACATCACCTGATATATCCAATAAGCATTCAAGTTTTTACAGCTTGGAACATTATTGTTCTGGTAAATGGTGCTTTCTTCCGGAAACAATGTCTGCACTATGGGGCGCACATGGTCGGCCATAATTTGTACCTAATCGCTGGCAGTGACTCTACCTTTCAAGGTGACGATGAGGCCTGCAGAATACCAAGATATGGCTGCCCAAACCATGATTGTGCGACCAGCATGCTTTACCGTTGATGCAAGACAGTCCTGGTCATAAGTTTGGGACAATGTTTGCCACACATGAACACGTCCAGTGCTTGGAAACGATACGATACTTGTTTCGGCGGACCATACTACACACTCTTCCATTGATGGATAGACCAGGATTCATGGCTGTTGCCCCACTCTCTCCTTTTCTGAGCATTAATATCAGCCACTAGTGGTTTGGCAATTGCAGCTCACCCGTGAATGGTCTGGAATTCTGGGTCACAATCCTGCGCAATGTCCTTTTTGTATCTTTCGGACAGTTGACCATGTCGCCCGCACTTATGCTTTTCAGGCATCATGTTCCCGGAAACTGTATAAGCCGCCATAACCTTTGATACTGAACTTCGCGACCTGGAAAATAAATTGGCGACTTCAGTCACAGAGGCGCCAGCTAAGCAGCACCAACCGTTTGCCCTCTTTGAAGCTCCTTAAGCTCTGACATGACTTACTTGCATCGCACGCAGTGAATGAGGAAAGTGAGGCTTCCCACCTGTTAGCTAGGTGTCTCATCACACAGCGGAAGCAAAAGAATGTGACAGCACGTCCGCTTCCAACACAAACATGTCACTTTCACACCTGCAAATAATGGAGTGCTTCCATCTTTTTGTCTAACCCCTGCATATATTTAATTGATCGTTTTCATTGAATTTCCTGTATATCTACGCATTTCTTTGGGTTTTTA